ATGCATTCAAAATTCAGAATTTAAAATTTCATTCCTATTAAACAACTGGGTAAAGAACCATTAGCAACTAGCTCAATACTTCCCTATGAAACGGAATTAGCACGAATGTTGCTCCAATTAAGCAACAGTTCACCATTCATTAAACTAAGTAAATTTTCTGGGAGATGTAATAAAGCAGCCTTCCAGACTTAGGGTGTCCCAGGTTAGAAACAACATACTGTAATATTTTACATTTACACAGTACCTTCCAATCAAAAACACTTTGCATTGTACTGCATGGAACTGTCCAATACATAAGCACTAATGAACCACAATAGCTTCTGGGGTGGGAAAGGTAACAGCCAATTGGTATACAAAGATGCCATATAACAGTATGGAGAAGGGAAATTTTGTGCAATGGCATCAGGACAGACCATAACTCTTAATGTTAAGGACGATGCACCCACCAGACTTCAAGTGTAAGGGTTCAGCTATTATTTTAAATCCACGGATGTGATAAATGAAGGTGGGAGGTAGCTCCCTTTTGTGGACACACAGAAGCTATAAAATCCCTCTTAGTAGCTGTTCTCTAATTGCTCTACCTCTAAAGGGTTAAAAAGTCTCATTGCTATGCAGAGGTAAAAGGAAGTGAGTGGACACCTGGCCAAAAGAGCCAATGGGAAGGCTAGAACTTTTTAAAATGGAGAAAAAAACTCTCCTTTTGTCTGTTTGTGGTTGTTCTCCCGGGAAGAGGCGGACAGGGCAAGAGCTATGCTGTAAGAAGCTTGGGCCAGGTATGAAAAATCATCAGTTTCATACCCAGAAACTACTAATTTAAAACCCCAGATATGTAAGCAGATCAGGAAATGTCTAGAAAGACATGATTAGGTTTATCCCATTGATTTCTTTATGGCTTGTGGATTCCTCTGTGCTAACCCCAGGTGCTTTTGTTTTGCTTGTAACCTTTAAGCTGGACCTCAAGAAAGCTACTCTTGGTGCTTAATCCTTGTAGTTGCTCTTTTAAAATCTAGCAATAGTCTGAGTCCCCAGATGTATTTTCTATCTTTTTTTTTTTTTTTTTTTTTTTTTTTTTTTTTTTTTT